CCGGTGGCATTGATCGACCCGAAACGCGGGTAAAAATACTCTTAGTCGAAGTGTAATTCATCGATCCACGGTTTCGTGCAGGATTCATTCACCTGTTACGATATAAGTACAGTGACCTGAAATATATTTATAGCATCACTCGAATATTAAACAACGTTATAAAAAAGATAAACGCGTTATATCACTTGTACCTTTGTTATTGGTGCTAGGAAAATTAAATTAAACGGGTATTTATTGGAAAATCGAGTAACATACTGCATTGGCTAAATTAAATTAGATACGAATCTTTTTATCAATCGTATTGCTATAAAAATTGTGCGTACCTACTACGTGAAATTAAGAGTGATGCAATAAATATGGGGTATATAAGAAAAAATAATTCGAAAAAAAAGAAGAAGAAAATTTGTTTGGGTGATGCTCCGTTTTCGAGATAATCTGACTCGAAAATTTGCTGCATGCATAAAATAGGACTTGGCTCACACGTCTGTCCATTGCAGGCCGTTTCTACTTCCTTCCAGCATGAATACACGCGTTTTAAGACTAGAACTACCAACGATAAACGTATATCTATTCCTATCGGATAGATAAACATGACAAATTTTCTGAAAATATTTAAATTTATAAATTAACTATTTCTTCATTTTTATATTACAATGAAAGTTGTGAAAAATCTGAGAAAAATGTTGTAACATTTTAATCGTCAATATAAGAATATACTAACCAGTCATTAAGACTTCTTTGGTATTTCTAGTGTTAAATAAATGTTCGATCCCCAATTTTCTGGAAAACAAATCTTCAAACAAAAAAGATTTATTATTCTTCTTCACTTATTTTTTCTTAAAGAATCACCTCCGAGCTCTGGTTGTAATACCAGACCTGACACACACTGTATTCCCAGTACAATGATTCCTCGATGAATGCGATACAGGCAACGGCATTATTTCCATCACTGTGGGAGTCCCCCTGTGGAAGCAATCAAAACAGAGTAAACAGAAGCTGAGCAAAGGCTCGGCTTCGGGCAAAAAAAAAAACAAATTTATGAGGGGCTGAAAACCTTTCCGCCCTGTCACGAATATTCCGCAGTGGACTCGAGTACACCGCACTCATCGAGACATTACTGTACCTACTGTATTTATGTCGCACACGTATACTGCATACCTCGTACAATCCAACAGATTCTATAATTTATTCGGATAGATTCTATAATTAACACGCCAAAAAAAAAAACTAAAATGTAGAATGTAACTTTTTCGTACGATGCCTCGTTACCGAGATAATCGAATTCCAAAGTCTGATGCGTGCACCTGCTACTGACATAGGACTCCGCAAACTTGTCTGTTCATTACATTCCGTTTCTACTTACGTTCAGTACGAACACGTGAATTTCAGAATTGATTGCTTCGGAAACGAGGCATTCTAGAATAAAGTTTAATTTCACATTTTGGTCTTACTTTTTGCATACGGAATAATTGCCTGTCCTCTTGCACGACCAACCTCGTATAGTACAAATTCTTTCTTTAGAATTGATTTAAACTCAATACTTTGGAGGAAATTTAAACCTTTTTCCCGAACCATCCAATATATTCGTTCGTGTTCCTTTTTCACGATTAATGCGCATGTCAGCGTCCAGTAACAATAATAATAATAACGATTAATAAATGCTATAAATCCCGCTTTGCTGGTCGAAATTCTCCCTCGAGATATCACGCGAAATTTCCCGCGGAATGAAACACGCGTGACTTGAATTTCCTTCAACGTCCAAGCAAACCCGTCCCCCATTTGGAGCAGTGCAGAAAGTAATTTATACTGATTAAAGCTTTCGCGCGCGGATACGAAAAGCTCCGCGGTTGACCGCTCGAAAGGGGCTTCCATTTTCGCGGGGTCAAAGCGGGGAAACGACTCACGTATCCGTGTCGCAATACGTGTTCACCTCCCGTTTGTTATCGAATTTTCTTTAATCACAAAGAGGAACACGTACTCGCGTTTTCGCTCGGTCGCTTTAATTGTCTTTGTTACTCGACGCTGGCGTGTGCATTAATCGTGTAAAAGGGACGTAACCGAATATACTGGATGTCCCACGAAAGGTTTGAAAATTCGTCTAAAGTATTGAGTGATGTTAGTTTGTAGATGTACAGATTGAAGTTACAGATTAGTACCAATAAGTGTAGTGCCAATACTATCGATGAATCTTTCGATTTCCTTTACCTGTCACTAAGCAGATTTCGACATAAATTATTAACTAGTCTCAAATTATTATATTTTTGTCATTGCTACTGTATTTTTTTGTTTTTGTTTCATCTTTTATTCCTGTGTCCTCGTTCTTTGTCTAAAAGAGTTTTTTCTGTTAAAATAAATATTATTATTAGTATTATTATTATTATACATACATCTATTCCGCTTTGTGTTTGTCCCTCGACAGAAACCCGACGAAGATTCGCTGGTTCAGAGCAACAAACGATTTTAAATGGGTCCCCATTTGATGCTCGCTTACCAATTAACCCTCGAAAGCCCGTGGCGGGTCTATTTGGACCCACGTTTTCGAAAGCATCGTCAAACACTTCAACTTACCATAACTAGTCTTGGGTAAGTGATTTTTTTTTAATATCAGAGCCTGTAAGAGGACTCGAGTGTCTTGAAGAAATGAATTCAACTACTCGTTCGAACCTATTCTTTTTTAATTTTATTGTATTATAAAAAACCCTAGACACTTGCCAGATACAAGGGTCCCAGTAACCCAGTAACCCACGGAACTCGATGTATCGAAAGCAATTAAATTAGTTCGCGCGCGAGATGGCGAGTATTTTCCTATCGCGGGACCGTGCACTCAAACTGGAAAACAGGAAGGCGGTCAATATTTTACACCAGCCGGAAATCGACGAAAAAGGATAGGCCAGGGATGGGGAAAGCTCCAGTTTCGACAAATACGCCGTGCTAAATAATAAAGTCGTACGGTCGTATCGCGAGACGCGAACGGACCCTTTTGTCCGCGAACGGGCAGTGCCGGATGAACTTCCTAAAAATTGAACCGATCAACTCCATGTTTTAGAGGTTTCTCAATTTTACTGGTCTACGTCTTTTACATGTAGAATAAAATATATATTCTAAAAAGGATGCGTGAAATATTACTACTTTTTGTTACGTAGAGTTGATGAGTTCGACTTGAGGAAAATTCAGACAATGGTCGATAGAGTCGTTTCCAGATGGACGAAAGTTGAAAATGTGTTGAACCTATTATTAATCGTCTTCGCACAATGAACAATTTTCGTGGCACCTAATTCGACCATTTCGACCATTGTATGTGGTGTCGAGGAGCATTAATTACCAGCAGAATATGATGTTACTTCGATAAGGATGCGCCTGCACCAAGCAATCAAGCATTCACGAAACCGACAACGTTTCGAAGGGACTTCTGAAGGGAAGCTCGGATATCTATCGCTACGGGTGTTTACGGTTTCGGGGGGTAGCTGGACGCCTAGACAAATGTTCGATATTCCCAGCGTCGTGGCCTTTATCTTCACACTCGACGTCATTTTTCAGTACATTTTGTTATTACGCATTTTTCGATTGTTTAGAGAAGTTTCGGAAAAGCAGAAAAATAAGTGCATGACGAAAGGTACTAGCTGTGACTTTATTTGATAATGTTTCATTCAGAAATACGAAAAATAAGTATAGTTGCTTTGTGCACTTTAAAGACGCCGAGCCTGAGACAGGATTAGAAATATAATGATATTATACAGTAGAAATGGTAGAGTTGTCTGTGATTCGTTCAAACTTCCTGCATAAGGATTCCTTTTTTCTTGCAATAAATACGATGATTTTTAACCATTAACAAATTATAGTCATCGCCATTCCCAGATGCAATTAAGTGCATGCAATTGCGTCAAATGGAGATTTTCAGTGAACAGCATATTTACTAGGTCTGTTGATCATATCAGAACCATGTCGATCATACAAGGATTTATAAAAGTGGTAATGTAAGAGTTGACTAATACGTGGATACATTCTCTCAGTCCTTCGATGAAAATGAATAGTAGAATAAATAAGAAAAACAATGCAGGTATTGGATGCAGGCTATACTTCGGGATATTTCAGGACGTTTCGACGAATCCTTACAACGTTACGATCCTGTCAAATGTAAGAAATACGTCATAAGGATACACGATTTAATTAAAGAAAGGTTCACCAGTTCCCGAAAGAGTGCCGAATGGAAAAACTGGAATGAGAACGAACTCATCGATTCAAGAAGTTCCAGCGTTTCTCGCAGGCATGAATAAATTAATTACCTAGATAAAGAGTTTGTAAGAACGAATAAAAAATGAAAGAAGTACCTCGCCATTCTCAATTGGTTAAACGAAAAAATTACAGTTTTTAAAATACAATAATACTTCTACTGAAATATGAGTAGGCACATGGCGAACAATTATTTAATCTCATTAACTGTTGTAGATCAGCATGACGATCTTAAATACTGCTGCTTTTCACTATGTATTATTCAAAGAGAATTGTACCTAGGTCTGATCTCTCGGTAGTGATGGGTAATCGAACTGTTCAAACATGTTCGAACTTCTGGAAAAATGCTCAAACAGTTCAAACGGTGTCTGGTCGGTTCAACCATTTAAAATTTGTCAAACAACTCCAATCGATTCAAACAGTTCAAACATTCCAGATCCTGTAAACAATACGAATCGTTTGAAACAGTTCGAACATTTCAAACAGTTCAAACGTGTCCAATCCTTCAAACAATACGAATCGTTTGAAACAGTTCGAATGTTTCAAACAGTTCGAACGTTTCAAATCCTCCAAACAATACGAATCGTTTGAAACAGTTCGAACATTTTAAACAGTTTGAACGTTTCAAATCATTCAAAAATTCGAATCGTTTCAAATCATTCAAACAACTCGAATCCTTTCGAACAGTTCAAACGTATGAAATCTTTCAAACAGTTCAAACGCTTCCATCAAAATCAAATCCTACTTAGTAGACAAACAACAAAACTCACCTCCATCTTCTTTGGAGGAACTCTTTGAAATCCCCTTCTGAAGTCCCGCCAGAGCGGGGAACACGAGTACCAATAGGAACAAAATGGTCCAGGCCAGCGAAGGCCCCTTCCTCGTCCACCTAAACGATCTTTCCGTCCACGAATGCCACCGCACGTCGCTCGGGCCGCAGCTCCTCGACGTGAATGGGGATGTGGAGGTGGTAGCGTGGCAGAACCTGTCACGTTCTTCAAACGTCCTGGATAAAGTCATGGCGTGGTCGGGATCGCGACTCACGTGTTCACCGCGTCGTATGGTCTCACGGTCCCCGATTGTCCTTCGTTCAGGCGAGTCGCAGCGGCCACGAAGACGCTCGCAAAGCTCGCAGCTGTTGCTGATGGTGGTCGTCCGATTCGGTCCTGTCGACGCTGAGGACATTGTCGACGAGGAGGAGAGAAAATGGGACGGGTCGGCGCACTCGAGGGTGTCACGACCTGACGGACAATGGCAGTGGCAGGTGGTGGTACTGGTGTTGGTGGTTGTGACGGCGCAGCCAGTGGTAGCCGCGTCGACGATCGCGGTAACGCCGCACGATATCCTGGTGGTAGCAGCGGCAATATTTGAACATCGAACGGAGGTCGTTGTGTAAACCTCCGGAGGTGATGCGTCGGCCGAATCGTCGACGGACGATGCGCTGCCGAGCCTGCGCGTGCACCACGCTGCTGACTTCATCCTTCCGTTCTCTGGGGGACGACTCTCTCGTCAGGACGATGACCGCGTCCTGCTGACGTACGATTCCCAACCCGACGAGACGGCTGGGAAACGCCGTGGAACCCTCGACACACCGTTGGGATTCCACTGTACGACCTATCCGTCGATACTTCCCCTGTCGATCTAATCGGACTCGACCGACTTCATTCTAACCCAGGCCTAATCCAGACCACGCTCATATCTCCTCGTGTCGACTGAACTTTGCCTCGATCACCTATTCGAATCTTCTTTGAATCTTCCCGACACTTTTTAACTTGCAATGACTTCAATCGAGGGGGTGAGATGGTATAATTTCCTAACTTAGTCGCGACAGGAAACGATCACCGATCCAAGGTCTTCTTGCTCGCCACGGGCATCTTCCAGGGCGTGGATACGCTGTCACCGCGCCCTTTCTCTGGTTCGAAATAATCAGTTTATCGGGGTGGTGAGACAGTAGTGGGTCGGTGGGTCAAACGACGCCATCGAGCTACGATTTGCTCGCTGACCCAACCCCCTAGCGATCTTCGATCGATACGCTAGTGGTTAATATTAAAACCTGCGGGTCGCGGGTAGCGTGGTGTTTCTTCGTCCTCGTCTCCTTCGTCTTCTCGTTAAAGTCATGCCACGTTCCCGCGAGTCACGGACTGCGAGTCTTCGCTGCCGTGACGTGGATTCTCAATTTCAGCTACCCTGCTCTTCTTTTCGAATTATCTCTTCTCTCTCTCTCTCTCTCTCTCTCTCTCTCTCTCTCCTTGTCTGAAGGCAAGAGACAGTCCCGAGATGTGGCCTGCTGGATACTCTTCCCGACGTCTCCCGTTTTCTCTCGACTCACTCGATCCGCCCGGATCACTTATTATCCTGCAATCAGAAAATCGTGTCCGCGTGAATGATTCGATCCCTGGTGCATTGAACAGTCGTCTATCTCTACGGATATAATTTCTCGGTTATTTCTCGAAATTTGTTCTATTCTTGTTATCTATTTTTGTAATACTTTATACAGTCCCAGAGAATTTTTGTTTAATTTTATTAACTAGTATATCTTTACGCATCGTTGTATATCTAAACTTTTTGTTTGTCCTTTAGACTTCAATGTATTTGTATGTTGTACCAAAGGGTTTATAACCCATTTGTAAATAAATATTATTATTGTTATTCTTAATAAACCGAGTGCAATAGATCACGAACAGTGTTGGGCAAAATGTAAACTATGTTGTACCAAAGGGTTTATAACCCGTTTGTAAATAAATATTATTATTGTTATTCTTAATAAACCGAGTGCAATAGATCACGAACAGAGTTGGGCAAAATGTAATCTATAATTACAAAATCCAAATCACAATTACAATGTAATTGTAAGAAAAGTCTATAATTACAAAATCCAAATCACAATTACAATGTAATTATAAGAAAATTAGAATTACAATTACATTGTAAATAACTATACCACATTTACAATAAAAATTACAATGTACTTGCAATTTAGATTCTGTAATTAGATTACATTTTGTTATTACATTTGGTTTATTACGAATGGGACACACAAATGCGTGAGGCCCTTCTTGTGGACCCGCCTGGTCAAAACGAAAACTTGAGTGATAGAGGGAACTGTTATTGTCCGTGATTGTATAGAATTAGTCTTATTCGCATATTCCTTTGGTGTCTTTACAATAGGTATTTTTAATTCACTGCCATTATTCGCGTCAACACATTTGTAATTCAAGGTGAGATTTCCTACTGCTATCAGACGCGTATATCAACTGGTATGCATAAATAGCATTCACGATCAGACGAAGTGAGACCTATAAGTGTTTTTTCACATCACTGAGTCATGTTCAATGAATAATGCTTAATAGGAAATTTCAGTTCTCTTTCCTGTATTCATTCTAGCCTTGTGCCTTCGCGCAACGGACAAACAGGCGACCGTAACGATCGTTGTTATTTAACTGAAAACCAACGTGCTTATCAGAGATCGAAGTATAAATACAAGAAAACAAACGTTTAGCATAAATTTGCAAAACGAAAACGTCAATATATTCACGTGGAATTTAATTGAGCCCATCCAACTACCCTCGTATTTCACCGATAAAGAATCGTCGAGCTGTCTGTCCGTGTTACTAACAAAATCAAACAAGTAATTATTGTTCATAATATACCGTTGGTTATAATCACACAGGCCCGATGAAATTACGTTCCTATTTTCTTGAAACAAAATTGTGTACGGGGGAAAAAATTCAGGCCCCTTACCCAACTTCTCATCGACCATACAGCAAATCCTCTATGAGTGTTCGAAGACCCCTCGGCACTGACAAAAAGGGGTCCCTCAGGTATAACGCTGGCTCTTTAACAAGATTTATCCCAGTGATAGAGTTTGGAATTTCAAAGCCAATGATTATGTAATATTTAATGTTCAGTGTCCAAGAGCATTCGAACATTCATCGATAATTTACTGTATACTCGATAGGTCTATTCTTTTAATAATACTCCTGTTCTACGTTGGACCTTGCAAAGACTCTCGATCCTTCCACTGAACAAAGAATTAGAATTCAAAGTCCTTTGTCTCCATCCCCGACCAAAAATAATTCCCGTCGACGAGGTCGTTCCCGCGGGCATCACAAAGGAACTCGTGACGCACCCCGCGCGAATGCATCCGCTGATATCGATGAATCTCGCAGCCCATAAATTCGGTTAAAATTGGAAGGGCCGAGAGTGGAGGAGATCGCAGCTTGGCCGTGTGCACGCCGCGTGAGCAATATTCCCAAGGATCCATCCAGAGAGACGAGGGCGTCATCATCGTCCAGGAATGTTTGTTTGCGAGATCCACCGCCGTGGAACCGACAAACGGGCACATCCGACCAAACGACGCTTTTCATTACGCGGAAAGCTACGTCCTTCGTCTACCATCGCTGCCCTATCCCACCTTTCGCTCGTCGATCTCTCTGTCTCTCCACGTTTCCCTCTGTCTTCACCAAAGTACGCTTGAAACCATGCTGTACCTGATAAAAATATTTTCGATCGGACTGCTAATAACAGAGTAATCTCTACTGATCACGATTCGTGGTGCACCCTGTATATGTGTAAACACGAGTAAATTAAACTTATTAAATAAGCAAATGATTAAATTTCGATTTTTTTCTGTGTTTTTTTCTGTGTTTGTTGATATTCAAACAATTTTCAGGCCATTGGTTAAAAATATTCATACACTTGATATTGTTCATTCACTGGTGAGTAAAAAATATTACATAAACAATATTAACATTACTAAAATAGATATTATGAAAATATTTTTAATATTATTAAAAAAAACCTTCTTCCTCTTTGTAATTAAGTTTGAAAATTGGCATTTTGGCCAGCGTTTTAAGTCAAATGCTCCACAGCGTGACATGCGAAAATTCTTTCCCCATTTAAGGATCCAATTACACGATCGGTTTCGAAGTAATAAACAACACCCACCGAACATCGAACACTTCGAGTTGTAATAACCTCTATAATAATATACTACAATCGTAACAGTACATTTTTTCCCGTACAAAGTGTAACACAGTTTGCAATTATCGCGAAGAAAAGTAAGCTTCCGCTATATCTCGATCCCCAAAGCTTCCCCTCTGAGTGGATTGCTCGGCGACGTCTTCTATGCGTGCAGACTCGTTCGTTCCGCGCTTTATAACCGGGAACGATCTAATATTAGTTCCACTGGCCCGTGAAATCGTGACTCTGTTTTGGCGACGTCGTTGTCCCTCCCCTGTCCCCGTACAGTCCTTTGACATTTCCGTTCAGACTGGGACCCGTAATTAATAATCCAACGATTCCGCCTTCTTTTCGAAAGAACGTTTGCTCGGTGAATCGAAAGGAAAACGGTTCGCTGACAACGAAACGGCATCCATCGTCTACCACTGAGAAATTCGACGGATGTCTGTACGATGTTCGTAGAATGTTTGGTCAGACTCTACCATCCGCGTGTTTTGCACTCGAGTTCACGAACTCTGGTCAGGCAAAATCATTTCTGCAGGAGTAATCCAAGAAAACGATCCCTGCAGTCCACGGAATTTTAATAACATTCCACATTAATGGTTTGGTCGACGTAACAACAACGGTATTTGTTAACACTGGAACTACCAAACCCGTCGAAATGACGGATTGCAGATTTCTTATTTTAGGATTACTGAAATTAAAATTGTGATTTTGGCGAAATTTGCAGTGGCTTTTAATTTATTATACATTTTACGGTACACTATATTATGCTGAATTGTACTATATGTTATGTATATTGATGTATTATACAATTTAATTTAGTATAAGTGACCGCTGGTAGTTCTAGTGTTAATGAATCCAATTTCTGACCTCCGTAATTTCGTGATATTTGTACCAAGATTGTATGGCAGACTTGATAAAATTTCAAGATCGCTTTGATTATCAGAAGATAATTTGGTTTCAAGCTAAAAGTCGAAATTTATAGTAAAATGATAGATAAAATAGATTTGGTACAAAGTCCATGAGACTTTAAAAAATTAAGGAAACGACGGCTGAGGCAAAGGTTAGTTTACAGTTTCCATTTTGTTAGCCTTTAAACACCATGAACACCTTGAACAATTGACACCTTTACAAAATTGACCCTTATATTTTATATTTATGTCTGTACCAAGAATCGTCGCGATCAATTGTAAAATACCGTCGTTTAAACCTCACCGTACACGTAATAGCACAGTCTGACCAACACGGAATTTTCTACTTTCCTCCAAGATGCAAATCTCCGATTTGCTAGCTGACTTCTCACAGTGCACTCCCGATTCAAAGCAGAGTATACACAGTGGTTCATGAGAAACAAAAGGATCCAGAAGACGAAATTTTTGTTCAAACCGAACGTCACGATGATTCAACAATGTTAGAACAGAGTTTGTCTAGAGACCTCGCGTAACACGTTAACTGCCACAGTGAAAAAGGTCGTACGTGGTCAGACACATATTATTTCGTTTTTTAAGTTATAA